CACACACACACACACACACACACACACACACACACACACACACACCAAGGCTTCTTAAACTTCAGAGAAAACACAGGCTGACCAGTAAAATTACATCTGAAACTGTTCGCTCTCACTCACCACCTATAAGTAGTGGTTAGATGTGCAAATTTGCAGAAAGGGATTATTGACAACCTAGTGGATGCCTTCCAATCTAGCTTGAACTGTTATCTTGATCGATTTTGGCGGCAATTCAATAGATCTACTCTAAAATTCAGACTAAATACCTTCTTTTGGAATTTTCTGTTATGTTTGTCCTGCACAAAAGTGTCTCCGCTGCAAGTCAGCTGGTCAGCAGCCTAATCTCTGCCCCAGATTCTTATTACAGCTGTGCATGTGAGAGAGAATCATCGCCCTGATGATTTGTTGACTTGCTTACAACCCTTCTGATCAATTCACTGCTCATCATTTCTAGTGAGCACAGTGCTGTGATGATGGAAAATTATTATGGCCAAACAAATACAATTTGAAATGGGATCACTACTAGTACTGGCTAATAAAAAAAACATTTTAAGAAATGTATGTGCAGTCATGCTAGATGAGATACTACTCCTATGTCTGTAGTGATATCACAGACTGTATATTAAAGATGGAAGCCGATTTGGGGTAAAAAAGTGAAGCCATAAGTCCACTGAATTATTTTACTTAATAATGACCACCAGGAGGCAAAACATTAGTATGATAGTATAGAAACTGAAACAACTCTATTTCTCTTTAAGTTTATGACATCAGTAAAGACTATCCAGATGAGTTTCAAGTCTTATTGAACACAACCTCATTTATTTTAAATTAAATTTTGGTCCCATTCAGAGTAATAAAGATAATAAATTGGGTTATCTTTTAGGGTTTCCTATAAGTCACTGATGAATGGCTGTGTAATGTAGCTCAATTTCTTATTCATCCACTTTCAAACCCACAAAGATGGCTGATCAAAATCTATTTATGGGCTTAATTAGAACTAATTGGTGGCACAATCTTGACTGCATCCACCTTAAGTGTATTAGCAAAAAGAAAAAATATGCATTAGGTTAGCTTTGCACAAATAGTGGAAGCAAGGACAAATGGCTAACCTGGCTCTATTAAAAGGCATTACAGTCCTCCTACTTTAACCAATCAAGGTGTTCAAAACATAAACTGTAGATAAAAGATGATTAGCACCACCAGGACATCACCCACTGGTTATTAATGTGCCAACTTGAAGCGTTAAGTTGAGTGTACCCTGAAGCACACTCCATTTTATTCTCCGCTTTACTCCAGTGGGGACTATTGACACTTAAAAGATCAAGAAATCATAAGGAAAGTGTTTACTGAGATCATTAAGAAAGTGAGAAGTGGGGCTGTTTTCCCCACAGACTTTGATCCAATGAGGCACCTCAGGGAGACAGGTTTAAGGCACTACTGGCTTCACTTTTGTGACCCAGAAGTTTGTTGTATCTTTTATATACAGTGTATTGTTGTCCTGCCCCTCGTCGTCTACATTGTAATTGTCATCATTACTACTATCATCCTATAACATCATCACTGCAGTCATCAGTCTCTTTTCTCCTGCTCTGAAAAGCCTTTGATTTTTTTTTCTTTGTCACATTTTCTGCGAATTACCATGAGATCAAGGCTGGCAAGTGAAAGCCATAAAATTCCACTGAGAGCGGGGGAACATTTACCTTGGTGGGCACTTTGACAGCAAAGAGATACAGTCTCCATGTTGCCAGGACCTGAGGGGAGAACACATTTATATTTCTGTCAGACAGCAGGAAATGCAAAATGCAAATCGCAGCAAAAAATAGCACAGCACAAACATCCCATAAAGAGAGCAAATCATCTCCGCAGTTCATCCAAATGGCTCGTAAGTCATGCTAAGCACCCTAGACATTAGTGAGCTAATGACGACAGCACGTGAGCGTGCGTGTGCGTATGTGTGTCAAAGACATATGATGGCGGGACTGCAAGTCATTTCACAGTCCAATTTATCGTGCCAAGTTGTGGTGATGGAACTAAGTAGTACTTATTCAACAGACGCCTCATCGCCCCGGCAAGAATACTGGTGAAATAACAGGGAGAAGACAAAAAAAAGACAGAGGAAGAGTAAGCAAAAAGAGTTGTGCTTTTGTCAGAAAAAAGCCATTACCATTTAAAAGTGTCTGGGGTAAATTAAGAGAAAGAAAATGTGAATAAATTCACATCTGCCTATGCAATTAATCTCATTCATAATTCAGAAATTCCATAATTAGCATACTCAATACATGCATGCATGCACTGCGCGTCTCTAGCCCTTCCAAGTCGCGTCTCTAACTCTCGACCACTGTCTCCATGCTCTTTTTCAGCCAGCTTTCAAATTGTCTTGTCCATAATTCCTTCCCTTGCATCCTTTCATTCCTCTGATTTCTCTCTTCATCTCCATGGAAATGTGTTCATTTTCTTGCTTAATCCCTAACCCCCCCTCCCATCTCCCAATGTGGCACTGTGTCCTGCCTGGTTTGCTCCCACCTAACACCTCACTCCAACCCCTCTTGCCCTCACCCCTCTCCCCCCCCCCCTTCTCCCAAGTCCCCTGTCTCCTTTCCTGTTTCAGTTTTTCTATTCTTTTTTCTGCTCTGTCACTTTCAATTCCTCAAGGCCTCTCTGCGCTGAATGGCTAATGGCGCCCTGCTGAGTGGCAGTGAGAGGAAGAAAGAAAATGAAAGATACAAAGAGATACAGGGAGAGAGGGGAGAGATAGAGGAGGCGATAGAAGGGCAGAGACACCACTTTTCCCTCCAAATAATTAAGTCTTCTCCTCTACCATACTTCACCAACTCCCAGCAAAGCTCATCTCACAGATCAACCCTGTGTCTTAAATATATAGGCATCCATAACAGGCTCCAACAGAGAAGAGAGGCTGCACTAAGCTTGATGAGAGGCCTTTGTAGAAGAAGTTCCTCCACAAATTTTCCCATATAAATCCAGAGGGAAAGCACACAGAAGGAGGGGGAAAAAGGACAAAAGTTGAGACGCAAATATATATAATGAAGACGTGGACGACAGATGCACCACTATAAAATCCTGCTACCTGACAGAAGGTCTCATCATGTAAACAAAGGCATCAATAATGCAGGCTCACTGATGGGTGCCGATTTGATCCCCTGATGCTGAAGCAAGTCTCTTGCATAGGATTTCTCCTCTCTTGTTATATCATTTACAGGCTATCGAGGCATCATTAAAGACAAATCAATACTCTGGTTATTTTTTGCTTACTTGGCTGGGACGTGTGCAGCAGTGAAGGGAAAATGCACCCAATAATCCTCTACAAAAAAAAAAAAAAATCCCTGTTGTTTTGAGGTTTTATGAGCCGTCTAATTATGTGTTGTGTAACTTGGACGAGCTGTTGTGTGCGCGCCGCATCGACTGCGTTTAAAGAGAGTCAAAAAGCACGCTATATTGTTTATAAAGTCGGCGAGGTTCAAGTCTTTTTGCCGTTTGCGAAAAGCAACGGAGACAACAGCCTGTCAGTCTCAATAAGCCTTTCAGTTAGCTTCCTGCATCATTTAACAGCCCACACTATATTGTAGCTAGATAGCAACTGAGTGGTAGACGGTAGTAAGCAATAGTCAGAGTTCCAGAGTAATACTTCAAAGTGCTTCACTTTAATATTTTAGACAGCTTAATCAGAATGGCCCAACGTTCAGAGCTGAGCAGCAGCCAGTCCTGTCAGTCTCCCCACCGCCCCGAAAGCTGTCACCCATATCAATCTGAATGATAATTTATATCTTCTGCCGTAATTGTCACACACGGCTTAGCGGGAGGCTGACATTTTCACAGGTGTACATATTAGTAATTTGTGTGGTGTAGCAGTACCGTAGCAACAGCTGTCGATTAATAAAAGTCAATCAGTGGGAGAAAAAAGGGAGAAAAGGCAAATATTTTGATTGTCAAGTAGAAACTGAAAATTCAAATTTTTCCCCTTTTTTTAATATATTATGTAGTAAGGTGGATAACTCTGGGTTTGTGCTTGGTGGTAAGGATAAAAAGGAAGATAATCACCTTGGGCTTTCATTGTATTGCGAGGGATCTAATGAAAGGAGAAGATAATGTGGCAGAATGATTAACAATGAAAATAACTGGTGGAAGATAGAAGCAAATAAGAGACGATCTTATAGAGTTACGGTGCTGTTTAAATCAATCACTGTTAAGTAGAGATGCACAGATATCCATACCAATGTTGTTTCTCCTTTCTTGTTTGTCTTGTTTGCTTCCTTGGTCTACAAGGGACATTTATAATACAAAAAATAATGTTTAAAGCCTTCTAAAGTCATTAAATTTGCTCAAATTTGTTAAAACAGTCCGACACGGCACACATATCGACCTCTGCCACTCGTGAATGTCATCTTATCCGGAAATAACAGGGAACGAGGAAATTATCAGCTGATTGCACCAAAGCCAGGAGGTTATACTTCAACAGCTTCTGATGACACTGTATTCTACAGCAAGTCAGATTATTCAATATTTGTGTATTATCTTTTTCAGTGTTTCACTTCGCAGACAGCCCCTGAGCACTTGTCTTACAACTCAAAGCAAGTAAAGAACAATGTTATTGATTCAGGAAGTTTGAATGAGTGAATGTGTTTCTAGCTAAGTAGCAGGTGCGGTGCACTTTGTGCTTTGGGTAGAAAAGCTGCTCTGCTGTGCTTGATCTCTGTATGTGAATTTAAATGAATCAAAAATGGGAATTAACTCATTCACTGCCAGCCATTGGCAGTGAATGAGTTAAACCCATTGACTCATTCACTGCCATTGACGGCTATAGCCGTCAATGGCAGTGAATGAGTTAATTGTATCTCATCATTATGCAGTTGCATTTGAGCACCCAAAATAAAAACATGGCTTTAAAATACATGTTTATATGTATATATATATGTATCCATCAACTGTAACCATCGTACATGAGCGTCTGTCAGTCATGGATGGAGAAGATTACTGTTGGTCCTGTCCGTCCTCTTCCTCGACAATCACATAAATAAATGGGTTGTCCTAAGTAACCAAAAAGAAAAAGAAAGTCAATAGTTTCTGAAGCAGTTTCTGAAGCATAAAGATAATAAGTATCAGCTGGCACAAGCAGTGACGCTAATGTCAAGTATGATGAGCCTGAAGCAGAATCCTGCCCACCTTGCCCTGACCCCCTCCCACAATAGAAGGTGACATTCCGGCAAACCTTCTATTCCGCAGATCAATCGCAAATCCTAAAAGCTGCAGAAAGATTCGTTTTCCACCCAGGAAATCCTCTGAAATGAGATGGTCAACTTTTTTCTTTTTTTTTGATCTGGTCAGCCAGGCAGACAGCAGTCGACAATCTCTAAAAGTGATGTGGAAGTAACGCGAGAGAAGGACTAGAAGGCAAAGATGATGGGGGGTGAGGGGTTGGGGGAGTCCAGAAGTGCCCTTGCGGTGATGGCACGGTGTCAAAGCTCTAGTTCAAAGATCTAGCCAGCAGGCTGGCCCCCGAAGCTCACTGCGGAGGACCGCGTGTACAGTACACGCACAGAGCAACAAACGCATCTCTACACTGCTTTGTGTGTTCGCGTGCACACGAGGCAGAGAGGGCAGAGGGCGGGGGCTTATATTAATCATAAGCTGTCAAGCTCTGGGTCTTGCACTTCAAACGAGATGGCGCAAATCAAAGTGTGTCTCTGGGTCTTGTACGTGTAAATGTGTATGCGTGTGTGTTGCGGCATTGCCTCTGAAGGGAACAAGAAGAGGATCAGTGCCAGATTTGGCCGCCTGCGGTATTTCTGGCTCGGCCACAAGGGCATTAAAAAAACAAACCAAAAGACTCGCACACAAACACACACCGGGGTGAAAATCAGAAACATTCTATCGCCAATATTTGCATACGTTCAGCGTGCTCCTACAGCACACACTGCTTTTTGACTCTCACGCACGTATAATGATGCACAATAGCTTGCTAAGCTGGCTTTGGACTACACTCGTCCCCTCTCTCTCTCTCCCATCCTGTCACACAGAGTCAGCCACCATCACTCAAGTGAACCCAGCATCATAAGAACACAACCCTGCCATCAGTCAATCTGTCAGCTTATGTGTGTGTGTGTGTGTGTGCGTGTGTGTGTGTGAGAGAGAGAGAGGAGGGTCTGAAAGCACAGATGCCCCAGGTCCTGCTTCGTAAGTGGACTTTAGAGTGGTAGGGAGGGAGAGATGCAAAGCTCCGAAACACATCTTGTTCCAAATTCTCTGATAAAAATGGAGTCCTAAATCAAAGAGATAGCACTCTGAAAATGAGATAGAAAAACTGGGGGAAAAGAGGCAGATAATGGGATGAAGTACTGTAATGTAGATGGGTGACGGAGATGAGAGGATGAGAGGAGAAATAGAGGCTGGAGAGTGGCAGGGATTGGACGAGTGGGTCAAAAGCAATAAAGGGAGGGGAAAATAGTGAAAGCATAAAGCAAGCAAATGCAGGGATGCCGGATGGGACGAGAAATGAGCGCAGGTAAGGAAGGCCAAATGGATGAGGAAAGAAGAGAGGAAAGGAGAGGAGCAGCGGGTACAGTAAGGACTGAGACAATGAGAACGAGGGAGCGAAAGAGAGAAAGCGACTCAATAGAACGGAGAGATAAAAATAGAGGCAGAGTTCCCTTACAGCCCTGATAACTCACGCGCGCACAAACACTCATTCACACTTTCTCTCGTTCTCGTGGGAGGAGAGAAGGTCAGCAGTCACACT